TGTAATTGGTCAAACTGGGTCAACTTTGAGTCCCTTCCTACCTGGTAACCAGAACTCCTTGGTTAAATAGTTTGGTACTAAGTAATATATATTCAGGTTTTAAAATAGTTATGTTTGTCTCAAAAGCATTTTTGCACAGACATTTAGGTATGGAACTGTATCAACCATCCTTTCCAGAATGGTAGAGTGACTTTGTAACTTCAGGTGAAGATCATAGGTTTGTGGCTTGACAATCCCTACTCAGGGCAGTTTAGGTTTATCATGAAGCCCTTGAACAAATTGCTTTAGACCAATTGCACTGGATTACATGCAAAGGGCCTCCCATATGTTATTCAGTGAAATAGCAACCTGCTATGACAAGAACATCCCAAATGAAAATTACCTTAGCTGTAAATGAAGCAATAAAACCAGAAAAAAATAAGCGTATCTTGGTTTGGTGACCTTCAAGTATGGAATATTCTTTCTGGGTGAGATGATTTTTAGGTGTGAAAACATCTGCTCCTGTTGGGGTGACTTTCAGAAATGGTGTCCTTTGAGTATGGGACATCAAAGTGCCCCCTTGTATTTTGAATCTCAGGAATACAGTGTATCCTTAAACCATGTATTTATATTAGAAACTGCTTCAAAACCAAGAGTACAAGTCTTGAATTTCACTAATTCTGGGGGTTTTGTAACATTACTGAGGGGTAATGAGGAACACTGGAACATCCTGTCTGGGTTAGACTTCAAAACCAGTCAGTCCTTTGAACAATGCAGGAATAGTCAATGTGTGTTTAGTCTAATAACCACCTGATGACCTTATGTAATGATTATCTACCTGGGAATCCAGGCAACGCCCAATATTGAGCCAAGCCTCATTACTTCAAAAATTATCACACAATTTTATACCCAAGTATATAATAAAATTGACTTAGTATAGAAAAGTAGCTTTCCATGATGAAACATGAAACGTTATATGTACGTAAGAAAAAAAACACAGTAAACCAAAAATTTCAACTGACTGTCTGTAAATATTCATTTAGGTTTTTAAACTTAAGTAATACACTTTCCAGGATATAAACCTATCCATATCTACTGCTATAAAGAATAATTATTACAATGTATTAATAAAATAAACTCATCCTACCCTTAGAGGTCTTTGCATTCCCCCCTCCCGGCTTTCTGCAGAATACAGTTAAAAGGTTGATGCCTTACTTGGAGTTACCTAGTTCACCAAAAGGAGTGATCTGGTTGCTGAGTTGGGGAGATTGTGGACACCGGTCATGTGTATGTTGTAGGTTGCTAATGGTCTATCTGGATATTGGGATGGTAGGAGGTGTTTGGGGTTACCAGCTGGTAGCTTGTGTAGGGGTTTAGTTGGTGAGAGGCTTGTTGTCTGTTTGAGTAGGATTAGAAAAAGGAAGGGTCATCTGCTTCCTGGGGAGATGATGGAGAAGGTAGTGATGATGCTAGGTGTCATCTGAAATGACAACCACTAGTATGAAGGCTAGGGAACAACAATGACAAAAATTCTGAAAATCTTTTTATTTCAATTGAACATGCTTGTATATACGCCCCCATTCCTGACCAGGAAGAAGATTTTGTACAATTGTGGTCAGTCTTAATGTCAACAACATAGTCCTTGTCAGTAATGTATTTATACCTGATTTCTACTTTGTTTACATAGCTTTCAGATTTCATGAATCAATACTTCTCAAAAACTCCTAGCTCCCACTTGTTTGTATATACCTTACATCACACGAGTCTGTCCCTTTTCTCCATTACTTAAATCCCAATTCAGCTATTTTCTAACCTTTCAGATTGTTCAACCCCCTTTCCCTTTTTCCTTTCCATTTCACACAACTGGATTGTCCTATCCTGATACCTCCATAACATACAACACATCATTACAAAGATAAATTCACTTTAGCAGAAGTTGGATCAAGATCTGATAACATTGAACATTAAAATAATTCAAATATCATGAATGTGATTAGTAGAAAGTAATTATTTCGCTGCATCATCCAATATTGGTATATTGGTTTAAAGATTGTTTCTTAGATTTATGAGTAATATGATGTGATTTTAAGATTAAATTTTAAAACAATTTTTAAAATGTCACTTCAAATTACAGAACGTGACTTGGTATACAAAGAACCATTATCAGGTATTTCTATATATGGACAGTTTTCATTACACAACACTTCAATATAAGGCCATGTACAAGAGTACTTTTAAACATTTGAGTTCAGGATGTTATGCACGGCTGGTTATGATAATCATGCAGAGATAGAGAAAATCTGGATTACAGCTGAATTGTCCGCGTAACACTTGTTCAACCAGGAAGTGAGATATGTAAACATGTAACTTCAATAATTGTGATCCTTTTGCCCTTCAATTGTTCAAAATATAATTTGACATTATGATACTATCCCTGATTTACATTAAGAGATATGTATTTGATTATCACAGCTTTAAAATTACTCTATTTAGACGGAGATATTAACCAATTATTTGAGAGGAAACATTTGTAATGCAAATTGTTTGACACAAAAGGTATCAGCTGTTCTGTTAGCAGCAAATAAAAAAATCTTTATCGATTAACTAATAAAATAGGTGTCCACACTCATTATATGCTTTGATTGCATGTAAAGCTCTGATTTAAACAGCTATTAAACCATGCCCACTCAGAATGCAGTGATTTTGAAATAAGAAGATGTTTCTTTTCAGTCTAAGAATGAAAATGTTTTCACAATACATCTACTGCTCAAATTAAAATGGTCTTTATTCAAACAATTCAGACTTTTTTAAATAAAGAAAATAATGAGACAGATATATTAGAGAGTGGACTATTTTTCTATTCAAAATGAAAATGTATTAATTTTAAATAGTCCTAGGTATTCACAATAATTTACTGCTCAAAATAAAATCATATTCAATTCAAGCAATTAATATATCTTTTTAAATAAAGAAAATAACGAGATTGTTATATTAAAAACAGGACTTTTTTTCCTATTTAGAATGAAACTGTATTCATTTTAAAGAAGAAGTAGCCCTTTGAGCCTGTACATAGATGTTTTTGTTAACTTAGCCAGCTTAAATAACTATATAAAATTCATTTTCTTTCCTGGCTTAAAAAATATCAGGAACAGTCGAGACAGGATATCTATCTTGCTTTACTATTAAAGTGTAGCAATTAACATCTATTTAGGCCTATTGAAATCAATGCTACATAAACAGAAAAAGAAACACTTTGTATGTTGTCAAAATACATAAATACAATAGAAACAACAATTTGCAATGTTACATAGTTACGCAAGTGTGTTATTGTGTAATGTCTCTCTATAAATTGCAACAAAGCAGAAGTGGTACCCAGGTACAGTCAATTACAGGTGAAAAGTAAGTAAATGCAAATGTATATTTAGAGTCTTATTGATTACATCCAGAAGCAGTATAGACCTATTAGTTAACCAGATCTGAATTCTTGAAAAGGTCAACCCACATATACAGGTGTAGGTCAGAATTTTTGTAGTACTGAGGCTATCCCAGTCTTGCCACAGTGTATCCTAGGGCCAATATATATTGTTACTATATTTCACCTTATAAACACACTGTGGACTTGCAAACACCAAAGCACTGCACTTCAACAATTTCTCACCAATCTCTGTGTTTCTTTTATCTATTAATCTATATGCGGTAATTGTTACAAGAAATATACACGAGACCTGACTTGTTGGTAACAGAAAAACACATAGTGAATTTAAAAATAAAACTGTAAATTTCAACCATATTTGTGTTCGTTATATGGTTGGCTTAGAGTTAAATATGAAAGGCCTAATTTTGTATTCATAGATCAGTAAAACTGAATAAATTGTTAGGATATTGGATAAATATACTCATCCCCTTTACAAGAAAAAAATATGTTGGGGTGCGCTAACAAAGGATGGTGTACTTATAAGGCTGAATATTTTATATTTCACAATTTGGTATTGTTACTGAGGGTAACCAATGTTAGCTAAGTCCTTTACTTAGAGGTGACATGTGGTCATTTAACTCTCTGGTCATACACCTTAAGCTTGGACCTGATCAATACACAAAAGCACCTATTGTGAAATATTGTGTATTATATACACATGCCATTATCTCTCACAGTTTGTCCCACGCAGTGCATTCCACAGGAAGTTGTGTAGGGGTAATTATATGATAAATAGGTCAACATTAAGGTGCTGGAATATTTTATGTACATAAATACCTATACTTAATGGGACATATAATGGCAATCTGTCTTTCAGTCAAGAACTATGTACAGGTCACATCTATCTTGGAATATTGCGTAGGTGGACCCTACACCTGTGCTTGTACATAAGCGTGTACTAGATTAACCACGGGTATTTGGTAATCTATACAGCTGTTCTACAAAGCCACAAGTGACTGACACTCAAGCCGTGCTCTAGTGACCTACTTAAAAGATTGTTACACAATTTTCATGTTGAAAATAAGATCAAGTTTGTTACTTTCTTCAATACTTCAAAACTATTTCCCAGTCTCAATGAATGCATTTGTTAACTGATTGACAAGAACTTCAACACAGTTTAAGTGAATATCGCAGTTGCCACTAAGAAAAAAAAATATTGCTCAAATATATACAGTGTTTTGTGACTATGTAGAAGTTCTATGTATTGTTAACCGTCTGCATCTACTCTAAATCAGTTATTATATTTGTGACACATATAACTTATCACCGACCAACAAATTAACAAAGTTTGAAGAAAAACCAGTAAACAAGAAATCATACACGAAATTCAACATGCTATGCCAGGTAAACTTAATAAACTTATATAAATGTATCATCCCGAATGCATAACACTTCCTTTTGATCTAAGAACATTAGTGCCCGAGCTAAGTTATGTACTTACGTCAATGGAAATCACTGCATGGAACTAGACCGCAAGCAAGTTACGAGTGTAAATTATACGCGATTGGAAACAAAGAAAACGAGACAATGGAAAAATTTTACTTACCTGTCTTTGTACAGTAAGTTGATCTTTGCTTGTGGAATTTTTAACTTTCTGGAAATTGCATTTTTTAGTCCAGTAACTGTTTCGTGAGCTGGTAAATTCAGCTCAAAACTTCCTCCTGTAGTCGGACATATAAGTAAACGAATGCGATTGGCAGTGGAACTTCTGCTACTTTTCGCAAAATTAAAATCCATAGCTTCCTTGTTTTCCATGTTTATTTTTCTAGGATAATGCTTCCGAAATGTTCGAAGAATGTAAAAAATAACTGCGTGCAAAGACCGCGACGTTCATGCAGTTTTATGATGTTTTCGAAGTGTGTTCGTGGCCGTCCTGAATTGACGGAAGAGCGTCATTACATATCATCCCTCTGCCTTAGAGCTATTATATGTAGCCAACCAATCAATTTCGATGTGGGTTGATCCATTCCAGGGGTCACACATGGAGGTCAACTAAACGTCATTGATATACAACTTACACATATTAGGTAAATGTCTATCAGTGTTGCCACATAACAAGCCCTAAAGAATTAATGTGTAAACTTGACGCTAAATTAAGTTTCAGGTGACGTGCACACGTCTTCCTTGCTCGAAAACTCATCGACGATAAGGCAACGATGTTAAACTGATTCCCCACACCACATGGAATCGTCCGTTACTATTAACCGTAAAAACCTCAGTTACGTCAATGGGCTGAGATCACGTGTGTGTTTGTTTTCCTCAATGGATATGAAGACTAGCAAGTGTAGTAGAATCAATATCGGCAGTTAGCAATCACAACATGTGCAATAGTCACGTGGTTAGATGATAGCATTAAGAAGAATGTTTATTGTTAATCTTTTTGTACATGGGCATTGATAGTTGTCGTGACCTTTAATAATTTAAACCAAGGTCGTCGTTACGGGAGAAAATATTCATTGTCATCAAAATAAAAACAATATGTTGCTATCAACAACCGCGAATGAAAGATGAAACAATGACGCCGAAGAGTGACGTCAGAAAATGAAATGAGACACAGGATTTCAATTAAATTCTGATAGCTGATGCGATGCTCTTGTGTGTATTTGTATGTGTGTGTTTTGTTGTTGTTTTTTAGATCCCGTTCTGTTAAGTGTTGCTATGGACTGACTTGTTTTGTTTTGTGTTGGCTATGGTTGCATCTAAAATTTGAGTAATTATTTCTCAACATTTCACTCTTCATTCTCCATTATAATGAGAGAAACGAACCTTTTATATAAAAGTGTAAACGGACGTGCATAATTTAGATACTAAAAGAGAGATACTCTGTTTAAAAGAAACCCCACTTCAATATATTTTTCATGGACTACATTAGCTGTCCATATCTTCAGGTTTTGATATTGATTTTTATATACGTGAAGATGTAATTTGATGACCGACAAAATAGTTTGACTCATTAACAACATTCTTTATCTTCATGATTTTATCAGCTTTTATGATTATATTTAAGCAGAATACAATAACAAATATGAAAGGATGAGTTTATTTCATAATAGAATTAGGCTCGAGCGTATATCACTTCAGAATTATCCGGTTATCATCTTGCCTAATTTCGATCTGGTTACTGTGTTTATATATTTTTATATATTATTTTATATATTAAATTATATATTTAAATGAAACATTGAAAAAAGCTTATAATATTGGAATCAAATAACACGGATAAAAGATAGGTCAGACAAATGATTTGGATGTTCTCGTTGCCATAAGCAATGTGTTAAACAGAATAAGAGGCATTTTTGACAGAAGAGTAGCAGAGTTATCTCCCTTGTTCCTCAACATCACAATCACCGAGAGTTAATGCGAAAAATAAGTTCTATGTTACTTCAGTGTTTGTTTAAAATGCTGATATTTATAGGAGTGAGAATTATTTCTTGTATATGTTATTATTCGATTTGTGGTTTAATTAAATTTTTTTTTGCTATTAATAGTCTCAGATAAAACTAGTATATACTGTAGTGGTATTTTTTGGTATGACGGCTTCCGAGGGTTTAATCACTGTGGGAAAGCTAGACGGAGTCTATTTCCTATCTTAAGGTAAGTACTTTTCAAATAGGCGCGTTGTCAGTGTCGGATCTATGATTTTCGAGGAAAGGTTGAGTTATGGGTGTGGGTGGTAGGGGGTGTGGTAATTTTTACCATCGGCTCTATAAAAGAAGGTCTTTAAACGACCACCCCACCTTTGAATACCAGATGTTCCCTAACTGCATTAGTCATTGTTGATATTGTTATTTGATAAATTGATGAAGCAAGCAAGCTATACTAATATATAAAATAAACTCGAATTGGACTGTTTGGTTTATGAATTCATATACAAAATAATATGTTACATTTTGCACCAAATCTTTCGTTACAACTCATTATATTCATGGTAACAAAATGAATTGGACAATCGGTCAGTCAGATTGAAATTCATCACCCGAAAGAACGATGGGGTGGGGTGCACATCCAGTTTCACAAATGCATAACACCAATCAATGGCATATGGAAGTACATTATTAAATACGCAGAAATCCATTTGGAGGTTCTGCCATATGCAATGAACGACGTAATACGTCCCACGTCGTAGCCAGAAGGGTTTAGCTCCTGATGCAGATTTCATCCCAAACATACTCGCTTGGGGACAAATCTGGTGACACAGGAGGCCAATATAGCACGGTGACGTTCAGGTTGATTGAAACATATTTTATTTGTCGTATAACAAAAAGGATTAGGCACAAGTTACCACAACTTAAAAACGTCTTCTCTAAAAGATTTCATTATACAAGTTACATGACAACAATAAGAATTTTAAATCAAATATATAGATATACGAATACAGAAAGATAGGGGAGAAAAGGAAGAAAGGAAGGAATGAACGAAGAAAGGAAGGAAGGAAGGAATGAACGAAGAAAGGAAGGAAGGAAGGACCGAACGAAGATAGGAAGGAAGGAAGAAATGAACGAAGAAAGGAAGGAAGGAAGGAATGAACGAAGAAAGGAAGGAAGGGAGGCAGGGAGTAATGAAAGACGATAGGAAGAAAGGAAGGAAAGAAGGACGAAAGGAAGAAGGAAGGAAGGAAGGAAGGAAGAAGGAAGGAATGAACGAATGAACGAAGAAAGGAAGGAAGGAATGAACGAAGAAAGGAAGGAAGGAAGGACTGAACGAAGATAGGAAGGAAGGAAGTAATGAACGAAGAAAGGAAGGAAGGAATGAACGAAGAAAGGAAGGAAGGGAGGCAGGGAGGAATGAAAGACGATAGGAAGAAAGGAAGGAAAGAAGGACGAAAGGAAGAAGGAAGGAAGGAAGGAAGAAGGAAGGAATGAACGAATGAACGAAGAAAGGAAGGAAGGAAGAAATGAACGAAGAAAGGAAGGAAGGAAGAAATGAACGAAGAAAGGAAGGAAGGAAGGAATGAACGAAGGAAGGAAGGAAGGAAGGAAGGGAGGCAGGGAGGCAGGGAGGAATGAAGGACGGTAGGAAGAAAGGAAGGAAGGAAGGACGAAAGGAAGAAGGAAGGAAGGAATGAAGGAAGGAAGAAGAATGGGATAGGAAATAGACTTATAATGACATAATATATAAAGATGCCACTAACTTTAAAATCTTTCACTATTTTTTATGTATGTTAGAACTGAAAGAAGAATATTTTCATTATCTTCATTAGATAGGTTTGAGGAACCAGAAAGAATAACATCAATAGAGACATTACAGTAACGTGAGATACCATCTATCATAACTTTGTTGTGTATACAGTATACAATCAAACAGGTAATGAATTACATTTTCGCACCCATTGACACATACGCATGTTGGATCGCTCACAATATTTACTTTTTACAAATCATACTTTAAACTACTACATGAATGACGCAATCACGCGTGTAAAATATTTAGAGAACGCTTTCCATCATCCAAAAACTTAGGTAACAAGAAACGGTGAATCAATAACTTAAAACTGTGTACAGATGGCTGTTCTCTGACACTGTTTGGTAAGTCATTCCAAAGTCTTATAGAAGAGGGGATAACAGATTGAAATGATCTAGACAGTCGGGAGTTGGGAATGGTGGAATTTTCAGTATTTCTCACTTGATATCTATTTCGTTCATGCACTGTAGGAGGACGCAGGTTAGTTAGATAAGGTGTTAGTTTATTGTGGAGTTTATACACGAGAGAAAGTTTCTGAAGTTTTCTTCTGTCAGACAGTGGTTCACGGTGGGATTCTGGGTATAGCGATTGTTTACTAGAAAATGAGGGCAGACCTGTTTATAATTCTTGCGACTTCCAGCTGAACTTGCTCAGGTTTGATAGCATCTGCCAGCGAACAGCTATCTCAAACTTCACCGATACAGGTAAAATAAATACTCTATATATTTCCACCAAAGTTTTCCTGGTCAACAAAAACTTGAACTTTCGAAGTACTGATACCTTTTTCATGTACGATTTGTGAATTTCAGATATATGTAATGACCATTTTGCATCTGCAATAAATACTGCTCCTAAATGTTTATGACTTTCAACACATTTAAGAGATTCGTCACCAAAAGAAATCTGTAAAGGCAAAACATTTCTTGAATTGGTTATTAATAACACATCAGTTTTCTTTGGATTAAACATAGAAAGCCAATCACTAGACCATTTATCAAGTTTTTTCCAAATCTCTGTTGACAGACCTTTCAATTTCATCATCAGACGATGAAGAATACACCGAAGATGTATCATCAGCAAATAAGCTTGAAATACTATTCAAATTGTCAACAATATCATTAATATATGTTAAAAACAACTGAGGACCTAACATGCTTCCTTGTGGAACACCAGAGTTTGTATAACCAATGTTGGAATATGCATCTTTTACTCGAACCTGTTGTTGTCTGTTCGAAATGTAATTTTCTAACCACTTGACCAATTCACCTCTAATACCACAAGCATTTAACTTATGTCAAACACGATCAAAAGATTTTGATAATATCTAGAATATTAGACAAGTATGTTTTTTCTTTCAATGGACAACATATATTATTGTACATTTCTATTAATTGGTTAACAGTTGAATGATGAGTCATAACACCAGATTGTTTTTCATAGAATAGTGAATCACCAAGAAAAGAATATACTTAAAAACAACTCTTTCAAAGACTTTACCCATACAAGACAACAGAGTTATCGCTCGATAATTTAACACTAAACGTCTATCACCATTTTTTAACAAAGGTAAAATAATACATTTTTCCCATATTTCAGGGGATGCATTCAAATTAAGTGATTTATTAAAAAAGGATTGACATTGGCTCACATATGGAACTTGCAGCAAATTTCAGCATGTGGTGACATAGTATCATGACCAGATGCTTTTCCTAATTTCAAAATTTTCAAACATCACATATTTCATCACTTTCAACAATAACAGACTCAAT